AAGACTTGCTGAAGAAATGCGTGAGCACGATTGGCGATACGCACCCATCTTTGGTGCAGATATCAATGACGCAATCAGACGCATTGACATCTCTACTACAGCACCAACGACTGAACATCATTGGATGATGAGTGTGGATCTATTCGTATTTGCCACACTATTTAATTTGGCTGTTGTCATGTACAGCTGTGTCCTCTACCCAAAACCACAAAAGTACAACAGTACCATTCTGCCAGTGGACAACATATATGGGGAAACCCACCCTAGAGGAGTCATTGTTCTGCATTTCGTCCAGAATCATTGGATCAACCTCTCCTTCCCGGCGGACAAGATACCGTTGCCCCCTCTACATGCCATTTGGCCAGGCGGTCACCAAGAAAGCGTGGATGGATGGGAGAACTATTTCGCGCTGTTTAGTCAAATGTGGTTCGATCTTGGGGGTGGTGCGAATAACTTTCCATCACGCAAAAAAAGGGTTCCAAAGAAATAAATTTGTACTCGTCCGACTCATAAATAAATTGTAATGAACGTCTTCAATTTAAATAAATTGTATTGCATTTAGTTTACGTCACATGGAAGCATGATATAATAAAAACATCCGAAGTACAACATAAACCACATAAGTCATAATCAGATAACACTCATACATATGACATAATAACATAAGTCATAGTCCCAAAACAACAAATAAGCAAATGAACACCACATAACATAAGTCGTAGTAGAACACATAAGTCAACTCGTCTAAAAACAACAAATAACACTCATACATATGACATAATAATCATACAACTACTGTGGAGGTGGTAGAAAACCCGACTTCCTCCTAAACTCGGGCCACATGTTCCCAACTCCATGACATAAGTCGTAGTACTCGTTGGCGCTAGTCATCCACTCCTCCCTACTACCCTGTGCAGCATCCATCACGGGAGATATCTCAATCCACATCTCGTGTGACAACTGTAAACAAAAACCATACAATTTAAATACATGTTAGTTACAATCAAAACATTTTTTTAACTCAATACAAATAATTTAAAATATGATTGTACTAACCGTATCAGCATCCGAGATGTCATCAACAGGTCGGCTGTCACTCAGTATAAGTGGGTGTGAGTGCCTAATGTACCAACCCATGTAATCATCAGGAACCTCCCATGGCCTACGTCGTATCGGAGTAGAATAATAGTCCAGATGCACACTATGCGCCCCCAAGTTGTTCCAATATCCATCAAGGTGCGACTGGTAGCTAAGCGAGTATCCAAGCGTGGAAGCAGGTCGACGCACAACAAGCGGAGGCTCCGGGCGATACGGTACACACTGCACGTAGCCTAACTGTCGGAGGCACCTAGTAGGATCATAATATTCTACTATCTCTGCAAATCTGAGCAAGCCCTGATACAAGGTACGTCTCGCCGTCAGATGAGGACGGTGACCATACGGAGTCCAACAAACTGACTGAGGGGTCAAACTATCAATCGCCTGCCGATAATAAGCCAGCATCTGTGCATCCCTCTTCTTACTCGACCGGGGTGCTGTACCGCGCCACCTGAATGCTCCTGCCTGCCCCCGCTCCAGCTGTCGTGGCTCCAACCGACTAGGTCTCAAAGTAGGAAAGTGGTCGTAAATCCAACACTGTAGTAAAGTCAGACAACCCGCCACTCCCTTAGCCTCCGCCTGGGAGGCAATACCAAGCTGCCTGTACAGATAAGCAAGTGCTCCTGGCCCCCACGCGTACTCTCCTAGCATATCCGGCCTCTTCACAAACAAGTTCACAATAGCAGAAACGCGGTCCTTACTCTTATCTACGAACAGTGTGGACCCAAGCAGCAAAAGAAGGTAACACTGAGCCTCCCTAGCTGGCGGACCAGACTGCTGCAAATGAGTCAAAGCTCCCACACCCAACAAACCAAATCCTCTGTACCACCTAGACAGACTAGCAACCTCGCCAACCTGCGCCTCGTACTCATCCTCGTCACGATCTAATCCCAGTAGTGCTCGGATGTCAGTCTCCAGTGAACACTTCTCCAACTGCCTCGGATCCACTACCATCGCCTCTCCATCAACCGCAAGCCCAAGAATGTGTGCCACGTCGTGAAGGAGGATCGTCATCTCTCCAAACGGCATGTGGAAGGTGTTGGTATCCGGCTGCCACCTCTCCACAAATGCCGAGATGAGAGCAGGATCCAACTCGCTCTGGAAGGTGATATCAACGAGGTGAGCAAGGCCCGATGTCTCTACGGTAGTCCTAGCGTTATCATCTGCTATCTCATAACCGCCGAGAACGTGGTGGAGGGTCGAACTCCTGTCGTAGCAAGTGATCACCCCTCTATCAGCCTCTCCCGTGTACAGACGGTGGGCAACATGCCCAAGAAAGCTACGGAGCAAACTCGGGTCGCTCGGCCCTCCAGGACACGGTCCTCTAGGCTCCCAGGCCTCTCCCACATCAGCAGTACCACTCTGGCCCTCACCAGGCTGTGGAGCTCTATAGAAACGCCCTGCATGGTCTCTATAGATCCCAGTAACAGCATGAACCCCAGTAACGACATGTGACGATCCGCTGGGGGCAACTCTGTCTCTGATCGGACTGACTTGTGGAATCCGATGCTCAACAGCATCCGACTCATACTCCTCCGACTCGTCGTCAATCTCGTCTGAAGGTTCAAACGGTGAAGTATGATGATCAATACTAGGACCAGCTCCACTACCAGCCCTACTAGGCAACTGAAAATCAAACTCAGGGAAACCGTCTGCCCTAAATCTCATCGGTGTCATCTGTGGCTGTGGCTGTGGCTCATCTCTATCATTTGGGCCCCTATTTCTCGCACTAGCGCTAATGTTACGCCCATCGAATCTTCTCAATCTCTTTCCAGCTCCTCCAGAACTACGTGATCCTCCAGAATTGTCACGTGACGCCATCTCTAAACATATTCAATAATTTTCTATTAATATCTTATAATAATTATTTGTTGAGCAATTACTTGTTTTTTCATAGAGTAATTATGATACATACAATTTGGTTATCTAATTAATTTAACTAGGTAGTTATTTAACTTAATACGATAGGTAGTTATTTAAATATTTATTTCAACTTACTCAATTACTTAACTAAAACATCATAGATAATTATTTAAAATTAACAATTATTTACAATAATTATTTAGATATTTTATCTATTAGCATATTCAATAATTATCAATTAATCTGTTGTAATAAATTATTAGATTAGCAATTTCTTCATAATCATAATTTATCAATTACTAATTATGATACATACAACTTGATTATCTAATTAATTTAACTAGATAGTTACTTTACTAAATACGATAGATAGTTATTAAAATAATTATTTAAACTTACCCAATTAATAAACTAACACATTATATAAATAATTAACAATTATTTACTAATTACTAACACATTATATAATTAATTAACAATTATATACTAATTATTTCAACTTACCCGTTTAATAAACTAACACATTATATAATTAATTAACAATTATATACTAATTATTCAACTATCAATATTAAACTAATTAATATACTAACAATTGTATTTAAAATAAATGTAATAAATATTTTTTTAAACAGAACCATTCAAATCGAATCAGAAACCAGACCGGGCGGACGGGGTCCGACCAGACCGGGCGGACGGGGTCCGCTCCGACCAGGCGGACCACGTCCGCTCCGGCGTGTCGGACGGCGTCCGCTCCGGCGTGTCGGACGGCGTCCGCTCCGGCGTGTCGGACGGCGTCCGCTCCGGCGTGTCGGACGGCGTCGAGAAAAAAATAAAAATAAAAATTACCTGAGAGCGAGGTCGGCGGCTGCTGTGGCGTCCTCTTCGGTCGGCGGCTGCTGTGGCGTCGGTGGCGGACCTCTTCTGCTCGGTCGGCGGCGGGAGGCAGGAGGCGGCTGCTGTGGCTCGTCGGCGGTGGGAGGCAGGAGGCGCTGCTATGGCTCGTCGGCGGTGGCGGGAGGCAAGAGTTGGGGGAGGTTGGCAGGAGGTTGGGGGTGGGGGTGGGGTGGGGTGGGAGGGGGGAGGAGGTTGAGGGTGGGGTGGGGTGGATAGATAGGGTTAGGAGTAGGGGCAAAGTAGTCTTTTTTTTTTCTAACTGTGAGCGGCAAATAGTAAAACGACGGGCGACAAATAGCGATTCATTTGAATTTCACCCTCCAGAATTCCCCAATTGCATCTCTACTCTCCTCACCCGGCAGAGCAGCAGCACTTTATCAGGCAGCAGTACACAATGACAAAACAGCACACAATAAATTTTAATTTAAATAAATATTAAAGTTTCGCGACTCTCTCTCTCTCTCTTTTTCTTTTTGTTCTCTCTTCTTTGACGCTCTCCAGTTTTTCGTTTCTCCGCTCACAAACGGAGTCCTTGCCCCAGCCTGCCCGCCACCTCCACTTCTCTCTGTCGTGTCCCCTCTCTTTCCTTTTCTCTCTCTCTCTCTCCCTCTCGCTCGTCTCTACTTAGTTCCTCATTTGTCCTCGGTTTCGGTTCCATCCTCCCCCGCCGCGACGTCGGCGGTCGTCGGGCATCCATCCCGTCTCGGGAAATCTGCTCCTTCCGGCGGCTGGAAAACCGTCTCCATTCGGTGGGCGACTAACCGCCCCTGCACGAATTCCGAGGAACTGTTTGTTGCTCCTCTCCGGCGTGCCTTTCTTCTTGCTATCGCAGCAGCAGCCGCCAGTCAATAGTGGTGGCGATCACCGAGTTTGACTTGGAATTTCCGTTTTGATTTTTCTCTGCATCGGGAGGGGACTAGTAGATCTGTGGAGGGAGCTGGTTTTCGTTTTCTCTCTCCCCCTAATTTGGTTGGTTGAGTGGAGGGAAAGGGAGCAAACAAGAGAAGAGAGGAATTGGCTGCGGCGGCGCCGGCGGGTGGGTTTTTGATGTGAGGAGTGTGGTAAATGGTATATGATGAACGGAGCTCTGGTGAGCGATCGGAGAAGGGGGTGGCGTTTTGGTAGGAATTTCTTCACATGGAATGGCAGATCTTGTTAGCTACGGTAATGCCGACCGTGACACCGAGCAGGTCTGTTTCTCTGCAACTCTCTCTTCTCTCCAAACATGCAGGCATAATTTATTTGATTGAAATTTTGTTCTATTTGGCCCCCTGAAATTTGGCAATTCCATTTCATCTGCTTACGTATTACTGCATACGGTCGAACGAGAACCAAAAGTCATAACTTTAGGATGATTTATTTGACTGAATCGAAATTTTCGTCTGACGAGGGAAACTATTTTGGGGCCATTTGTTTAGAAAATCCTGAAGAATTTTCTCCTGATTTCTGTTGTAGGGGTTAGTTAGCTCTGTGGGAGTAACTTTTTAGAACTGCCTTGTTTCATCATCTGGGATTTGAATTCTAGGGGTCTGTTTCTAGGCCTTTGGAGAGCGAATGGCTTAGTGAAAGGACATTTTAGTTGCATTGCTTCATGTTCTATAGCCTGTTTGTATAATGTATGCTGGTGTACATGCCTGTTCATGAATGAAACACGGTGGATGGACTTGACTAAATTGTGCCTTGTTATGGACTGTGATTGTAAAATTGGGGGCTCTCAGAAAGAAAATAACGGAACAAGTAGATAGAGAGGGGATGCTAGATACTATAAGAAAGAAGGCCATTTTCTGCTTAGTTTTGACTTGTGATTGTAAATGTGCATGTGGACAATATATACTTTGCTGGTGCCCTAGCTATGACCTTGCTACTTGGTTCGGTGTACTATGAAGTGTTGGTAACTGTATGAAGGATGCTGTTGGCCACACCTCTAACTTGCATTGTGATGTGTAAAAGCACAGCCAGTTGATCCGGACTTCTTGTTCTATTTCTTGCTTTCGTACTCTATCTATCTGCCACTTAGCTCATTGTACTAACAATTTATTGATCTACTTTCCATAGGCTTTAATTGCTTTGAAGAAGGGGGCTCATCTTTTGAAATATGGTCGCAAGGGAAAACCCAAGCTTTACCCATTCAGACTTTCTTATGTAAGTTTGATCTCCTACTTTAGCATGTTGCGGGTCTGATCGACTAAGCTATATTAGGGAGAGGATCCTTACTTAAGCTATAAAATAATTCTCTAGTCTGGATATATCAGCTTACACACACTATAGAAATGATGCTGTATAGAGCTGTTGGGTGGTTACTTATATGCGCGATGTAGTTATCTTTAGGTTTGAAAGAAGCAATGAAATTGTCGTCTTATTACTTGGGAATCCTTTTTTTTCTTTCTTTCTAATGTTACTTGAGAGTAGTTAATGGAATTCTTGTCTTGTTGTTATGTTTCATTGCATTCTTGTAGTGTATATGGATACAACCGGCAAGTTTAGTTCTTGTAGAAGGCTCTAGCATTTCAAAGTCTTACTTATATATCCAACAAGATTTAGGTGTTGATAAATCTTGTGGAACTTTATGCTCATAACTTGGCCATGGACGGCACATGATTTCCTTGGATAGCTACCTTTGGGGTCTCATGTTCAGTAGTCTGTTATATTTGGATTTCTAATGGAAGATGCACAAGTGCCCGGCTTGACTTATCTTCTGAACTTTTGATAGGGGGCTTTTGTTGTATTGTTTTGCATTGTCTACTATGTTCGATCTTCCTCTGTCACTAATACTCTACAGGACTCTCCATTAATTTCTTGCTTTCTGAATTGCAGGATGAAACAACTTTGATTTGGATTTCAAGTAGTGGTGAAAGAAGTTTGAAGTTGTCTTCTGTCTCTAGAATTATTCCTGGACAAAGAACTGTGAGATTTCTGCACCTTCTTATGAGACTGAGTTTCTATCATTAGTTTGACTGTATCAGGGCCAATGCATTTAGCCCGTTGCTCTTGTCAAAGACTGAATTTAGCTTTTCCTTCCTATGTGTATTAACAGGCTGTCTTTCAGCGATATCTGCGCCCTGAAAAGGACTACTTATCCTTTTCTCTTATATACAATAACGGAAAGAGGTCTCTTGATCTGGTTAGTGGGATCATATGCATTTTTGGTTGAACTGACTTTTGATTTAGTCTTCAGACTTATGTGCATTGCTGGTTTCTAGATTTGCAAGGACAAGGTTGAGGCAGAGGTGTGGATTGCAGGATTAAAGGCATTGATTGCTTCTCGTCAAACTGGGCGCTCGAAAATCGATGGATGGACTGATGGGGGCCTCTACATTGATGTAATCCTCTTGTTACATGGTGTTAACTTTTGCATGTAGTAACCAATTTTTGCCAACTCCAAATCCACCTTTTGCCTAGCCTTTTTAATTTCTTCCTCATAAAATTTAACTATTCTTGTTTCCATTTATTCTCCCGTGTCATTCAAGATAAACATCTACATCTGTTCATTTTAAATCCTGTAATCAACTGATTGCGAATCGTACTGCTAGTGTGTCTAGTTTTCTATGTAAGCCGTGATACAGTCTCAAAACTTTTCTCTCTTGTTTATGCAAGGTTTTCATGTCACTCGATCATTGCTATTCCTGATGGTTCCTTGATGTGTCTTTTTTGCTGACTTTGTTCAGGACAGCAAGGATTTGACATCAAATAGTGCTAGTGACAGTTCTGTTAGCATCACACGAGATATTAGCTCCCCAGAGGTTGTAGCTGTCAGTTCTAATCCCACTTCTACTTCTCCCAAGAGGTTTCGGCCTGAGAATTCTCCACAATCTGATCGATCACATGTAGGATTAGACAACAACAACACAAACATGCAAGTTAAAGGTTCTGGTTCAGATGCTTTTCGAGTCAGTGTTTCCAGTGCACCTAGCACCTCTAGTCATGGATCTGCACCAGATGACTGTGATGCCCTAGGTGATGTATACTTGTGGGGGGAGCTCATAAGTGATAGTACCGTGAAAATTAGTGCTGATAAAAATGCCACATATTTGAGTTCTAGAGCAGATGTTCTTCTTCCCAGGCCACTAGAGTCTAACGTCGTTTTAGATGTAAATCACATAGCCTGTGGTGTAAAGCATGCTGCTTTAGTTACAAGGCAAGGTGAAATCTTTACATGGGGTGAGGAATCGGGCGGTCGTCTTGGCCATGGTGTAGGGAAGGATGCTATTCAACCTCGTCTTGTTGAATCACTTGCGGTTACTAGTGTTGATTTCGTGGCATGTGGGGAGTTTCATACATGTGCAGTAACAATGGCTGGTGAACTCTATACATGGGGAGATGGCACTCACAATGCTGGACTTCTTGGTCACGGTACTGATGTCAGTCACTGGATACCTAAGAGAATCTCAGGTCCTCTCGAGGGACTGCAGATTGCTTCAGTAACATGCGGGCCATGGCACACGGCGTTGATAACATCAATGGGCCAGCTTTTCACCTTTGGAGATGGAACTTTTGGGGTCTTGGGTCATGGTGACAGGGAAAACATTGCCTATCCTAGAGAAGTAGACTCTTTATCCGGTTTAAGAACCATATCCGTAGCATGTGGTGTGTGGCATACTGCTGCTGTGGTGGAGGTTATTGTCACACAGTCTAGTTCAAGTGTTTCCTCTGGGAAACTGTTTACATGGGGCGATGGAGATAAAAACCGTCTTGGACATGGAGATAAGGAACCTCGGCTTAAACCCACCTGCGTTCCAGCCTTAATTGAGTACAACTTTCATAAAATTGCTTGTGGGCATAGTCTAACCGTTGGTCTGACAACATCTGGAAATGTGTTCACTATGGGAAGTACTGTTTATGGTCAACTGGGAAGTCCCCAGGCAGATGGGAAGTTGCCTTGTTTGGTCGAAGATAAGCTTTCTGGTGAATTTGTTGAAGAGATTGCGTGTGGTTCGTATCATGTTGCAGTTTTGACTTCTAAGAGTGAAGTTTATACATGGGGTAAGGGAGCAAATGGGAGGCTAGGGCATGGAGATGTTGAAGATCGTAAAACGCCGACTCTGGTTGAAGGCTTGAAGGATAGAAATGTAAAATACATTGCTTGTGGTGCAAACTACACAGCTGCCATATGTCTTCATAAATGGGTATCTGGTGCTGAGCAATCTCAGTGTTCTTCATGCAGACAGGCTTTTGGTTTTACTCGAAAGAGACACAACTGCTATAACTGTGGACTAGTACATTGCCACTCTTGCAGTTCAAGAAAAGCAATTAGAGCTGCCTTGGCTCCCAATCCTGGGAAACCCTATCGTGTCTGCGATTCCTGTTATGCTAAACTAAGCAAGGTCTCAGAATCTAATAACATCAGAAGAAACTCGGTACCTCGGCTTTCGGGTGAGAACAAGGACAGGCTGGACAAGTCCGAGATTAGGTCATCCAAGGCTGCTTTGTCTTCGAATGTAGATTTGATTAAGCAATTAGATAGTAAAGCTGCAAAACAAGGAAAGAAAGCAGAAACATTCTCCTTGGTACGATCCTCTCAAACACCATCTTTATTGCAGCTGAGAGATGTTGTTTTGTCTACTACGATTGATTTAAGATCAAAGGTTCCCAAACCAGTTCTTACGTCGTCTGGCATGAGTTCGAGGTCTGTGTCCCCTTTCTCAAGGAGACCTAGTCCCCCTAGGTCGGCGACACCTGTTCCAACGACATCTGGGCTTTCCTTCTCGAAAAGTATTGCTGATAGTTTGAAGAAAACAAATGAGCTTCTTAATCAGGAAGTGATGAAGTTGCGTTCACAGGTATGTTTTACAAAGCTACTGTTTGTTTCTGCTGTATATTGGTCTGGAGTGGATGAAAAAATCTTACTTTTCTTGTCTGGTTGATGGTTATTAGGTTGACGGTCTGAAACAGAAGTGTGAGTTCCAAGAATTGGAGCTCCAAAGGTCGGCTAAAAAAATGCAAGAAGCTATGGCAATGACTGCAGAAGAATCAGCCAAATCTAGAGCTGCAAAAGATGTTATAAAGTCGCTCACTGCACAGGTTGGTTTTATCCTGCACTTCGCCATTGGAATTTTGTTAGCTTGTCAGTTGCACTCTTGACTCAAAATTTTCAAACTCTGGGTTAAGTGACAACTGTCTCGTTGAATTGAAATGTTGGAGTTTATAAAACTTAATCTCTTTATTCCATATGAAAATTAATTGGAACATAGTTGTCTGGCTATGCTTGTCACTTGTCAGTGTGACCATATAAGACAGAGAAAGTGTGACTCTTGGTTGTTGTTAGTTCACCAAATAATGTTTCGTGTATCTTATTATAATTTTCTACTGCAGCTCAAGGAATTAGCCGAAAGGTTGCCACCTGGCGTCTACGACCCTGAGAGCTTAAAGCCTGCTTACCTACCAAACGGTTTGGATTCGAACGGTATTCATCATGCAGATACCAATGGAGACCGGCATTCAAGATCCGAATCAATCAGTGGGATGTCACTGTCATCTCCAACTGGACTTGATTTTAGTTCAGCAAATGGAAATCATCACGGTTCTATTCAATCGTTTGGGGACCTATCCGGACACAATGGCAGCAGAGAAGACCATTCAGATGCCAGGCTGTCGAATGGCTCAGGAGCTCGTTCAAGTAGGAGTATATTAGAGTCCATTGATGGAAAGGAGTCGTCTGGACCCATTCAAGATGGCGAGACTGGTTCGAGAACTCGAGATCCAGCATCATTGCCTGGCAACGGTAATCATGTTGAGGCTGAATGGATTGAACAGTATGAGCCCGGTGTGTACATAACTCTCGTGGCCCTCCGTGATGGAACTAGAGATCTCAAACGTGTTCGCTTCAGGTACATTTTATCTGATCCAAAAGCCAGCATGTAGCATAATTCTTCATTTATGGCTTGAAAGTTGGAGAATTGTTTTTTTGCATCTAGTTGCCATGGACTAGTTCACTCGGGGGAGTAGTTTGGTTTGAAGGATCTATCTTTCGGTGACGTTTAACATGGTATAGTTAGTGTTCAGAAGTAGTCCGGTTCCTGAATCAGGGTAGGCCTAGATCAAAATATTGAAAAATGAGGACCATGACCAAATCAAAAGTGGAATTGCATTTTTTCCTCCTATGTTTCGGCTCTGCTTTCTTTAGGTGCCTAGGAATGAAGCTTAAGAGATAATATTCGAATCGCACATTGTAAATTTACAATGTTTTCTCTCGTGACTGCAACAGCCGGAGGAGATTTGGGGAGCACCAAGCAGAGACGTGGTGGTCGGAAAACCGAGAGAAAGTATATGAGAAATACAATGTGCGTGGATCGGACAAATCTTCGGTTTCTGCTCAGGCTGCTCGGAGATCAGAGGGTTCCGTGTCATCTGCTTCTTAACCTTTTGCAGTACAAACAGAAGGAAGTGAAGAACAAATTTTGCAAATCTTCACCAGGTGAAGGGATTGTCATCAAAGGCTTAGTGAGATGGAAGTACAAAATCAACAAGGCCTCTTTTGTGATTAAGTTCTCTCTGCTGCCCCCTCTTCTCCTTCAGCTATGGTAAAAAATTGTCATTCTTTTTGTCTTTAATTTAGAAACTGGCTATATCTGTTGTATTGTAGTGTATATAGAAAATGCATCAATTCTAAGGTGGTATTATGTGGCCCGATTAGAGAAAATTCTTTTGTTCCTGTCTGTATCTAATCTAATTGATTAGGGTAATGTGGAGGCGAGTGATTGAGACATCAAAGCCAGGTTCAATCTGCATTTTCTTGGTGAATTGTATCATACTCTCAACACGAACATTCTCGTCATACGAGCCAGATGGCAATCTGAAGTAGTTGATTCGATCGAGTTGCTTTGCTGCAGTAATTTGCAGCTTGTTCTCTGCCTTTCCATGTACATTGTACAGTTGGCGTTTATATTATGCAAGTTAACAAACAAGTTGGCCTACTCTGTACTTTTTTGTTATGGCAAAGGCGCACTACCTCAAAAGTCTGAGTGTGTTAGGTCCTGCACTATATGGCCACACTGATGTTATAATAGTTCCAGAAAAGCCTGGATCATCACCCGATGACTTTGCAAAAGACCTCAAAAAAGCATCTCCTCAGTTTAGTGGCATAAGTAGTTGCCGAACTCTCAATTAGACAGAACAGGAATGTAGGAAGACAGGCCGACAGGTAGCCGGCTGTTTGAGGAATAAGGTATGATAAGTAGTGTGCCATTACATTCAGCGCCGGCCATGATTAATTCATTATAGGAAATATATACCGGTTCTCTTCCCCACTTGTAATTTGGTGACCTTCACTCACTATTTCCAGGCAAATTGCAATCGATGTACTTTAGTTATCTCAATTTTAAGTGATGTATTTGTTCACCTATAAAAAAGGAGAAACACATCATATACACTGGACTATGAGAATTTGTGGAAGGGTACCACAAAAGTGAAAATAGGGTACATCAAATTTGTTGAATCGTGCACCTATCCAAAATTTCGTCATATTTCGTTAAACAAATTTTTAAAAAATCAAATTAATCATTAGAAAAACTAAAATAAAAAATAAGTAAAAAACTATTTCTATAATATCGAGATCCTAGAAAGAGGAATATAGGGCACATGCTTAGTCTTAAAAATATTGTACCACACATAAATAAGGTGATAACCTGACATAACAACTTTTCTTGGTAAGTTGTTATGTCAACATTTTAACACAAGCAATTCCCTTAACACTTTTTTTTTTACATAATTCCCTTAACACTTAACTGCTGACTATTTGCTACCTTAGTCACTTGTTTTGGACGAAGAAAATATTAGAGTCGAGAAACCAAGGAAGAGCCCTACATGCATGCTAAACTTTAGTAGGTTGCGAAAGTATTGCTAATATGAGTTGAAAAAGACTTATGGACCATAACTTATCAGATGTCTAGGGGGTATCCATGAAGAAATAAAATCACACTAGATTAGGGCCGGCCTTTTGGCCTGAAGAGTTTGATTTTCATGTGTATGTGTAGTAAACATTGACGTATATATTTTTTATGGTTCATGTTGTTGGGAATTGAAGTAACTATTTAATTTGGTAAGTTCTCCATGAATAATATAGGAAAGTATTTAATGTATTTGACTAATGAAGTTTAAAAACGACAAACAACGTCCAACTACACTAACATAAATACATCTTTTCAAACAAAGTCATATCTATTTCAAACAAAGTCATAAACCTTATTTTACATCGTACATACATAATCAATCTTCAGCATACGGTAATTTTTTTTTGTCTTTTTCATTGACTTTCGTGTATTCAATGATATAATGAAACAAGGTTTATGTTTAGAGTATCCTTAAAACGAAACAAACTAACTCACACAGTCATGGTTCCATTGACTTTAGTGTATTCAATGATATAATGAAACAAAGCATGCAGATCTCCAACTGACAAGTTCAACTAATAGAGCAACACATAAAAAGGTAAATCAAAGCGAAAAGAAGGCAAAAACTAAAAACAACACCAAACATTTTGGGGGAAATCCACAACAATAAAAGTCATTGTATGAATACTTGATAATGATTTGAACACTTGTGATATATGAGTAGTGAAAGTTAATAAACGTCATTGTAGCTCTTACTCAAATTAGAAAGACTTTCATTTAATGGTAAGTAAACAATGATATGTAGTGCTTAAGAGGGAAGATGAGACCTTACATTATTTATTAATATCCATCTTAATTTCATAAATTTTACATCATTAAATATTTATGTGCTGAATGGAAACTCATCCAAGTTTGGAGCCATTGTAAAATGTAAGTTATGAGGCAAATGAAAATTCCCAAGCATCCACATGCTTGAAAAATAAATCTATATTATCAAACATAAAATCTATCTTGCATCAGAAAAAAGAACAAAAAAGTAGTAATTTGATAATCAATATAGGAATAAATATGGACACAATCTCTAACCAAGAGAAGACGAAGCGAAAAAACACAAATTGTTGTGTATAGATTCTTCTCACGATATTTCAAAGTGAAAAATATCATAAAAATTATTAACCAATAAAAGGGAACGGTAAAGGGGAAAATGCATCAATTTGAACCTAAAATGAGAGGAATTAATATCCTACACCATCATATATAATTAGCTATTTAAGCTCATGAATAAATTAATTATATCATTTGGTAAAAGAAAATAATTTATAAACTTGAGAGTTATTTCGTTTGTTGTTAAATTATTTGAACTAAAGTATGAAAGTGCTTCAGAACTGTTATTTTATTCATTATTATTAAAATTGCTATTTTTATTATAATGTCTAAGCATGTCTAGGCTAGCAAGGAGATAGACAAATGCCCAATGACCGCCATACACCTAACGTGCTGCTGAACCTCAATAATTATAGCAAACTTTGAGTCCATCTCATAAATTTGATCACTTCTATTTTGGTATAATTGATTACATCATGAAAGCGATCAATCAAAGAGTCTTTCTTTAAGATTTTGATAAGATGTCCCCTATTGCACAATTAGTATGACTAAATTGTAATAAGACAATCATCTATTGAATTTTGAATCGATAGCGCAAAAGATTGTACTAACTCAAGTAGAGTTTTAGCTACTCAGTACTTCATATTCGCATGTAGATAGCTACTTCGAAGAGTTCGAATATTGATTGAGTTTGTTGAACTTTACCTAACGAAACTATGATATAAATCGCAAGATATTATGCCTTTTGGAGAAATTTGGAGAATATGTTGGTGACATCAAACCTAACATGGATATCATTGAATTTAAGTGGTAAACAACATTTATGTTTATATTTAGCATTCCCATAAGTTGGTATGAAAAAGTGAATAATTAGAAATTTAAAGCTGGAAACAAAGTTGATTTAATAAATAACTGCAAATGATATTGTGAAAAAGAAAACAAATGCTTAGAGCATAGCTAGGCATGAGAGTGCTACATTAAACTCTCTAAGAGAAAGCAAGTAACCATTAATAGTTAGCTGTGGATATTGAAATAGTTAACTTAACTCATAACTGTTTCTTATCTTTGATTTATCATAAAAGGATGATGCTGATGACAGCTGAAATGGACGTTGTTCTAGCGAGAGTACTATTGATGACATCCTCTAAAACATAACTTCGATGCTAAATACTATATACTGGTGATGAATACTTGGACCTTAGCTTGAACATTGCATCATGCTGATAAAAATTATTTCATTAATTACATTATTGAAATAAGGGGTCGTATGGAAGTTTTGATTATTTTTTTTTAGATTGTTAAAAAAATACATTTTTCATAATACAATACATATGTTTTTATTTTTGTTCATACACAATCGTGAATCATTTGCTTGATTTGACTAAACTATCATTCAAATTGAATGATTAAACAATTTCAAATTTTAGCATAGACTGTCGAGATAATTGGTATCGATGTTTGTCATGTTTATTTTTCTTGAAATGTATGGTACCGGTGTACTTATGTCATCATTGAACAATTCATTGAACACTTCAATTCAATGCACAATATTCCAACCAATGATATTTGTGTTGAGATTTTAAGATTATTCTTCATTATAAGTTAGAAAAAAATCTAAATTAATTATTAAAATATGAAAATAGAAGTATCAAACACCACAAAATACTTACATGAGACTTAGTGGGCTAACTAACCGTGATAGAAAAGTACTTTGTTTTTCATAATTTTAACTTCCTTTATGTTTTATATTAAGAAAGTACAACAAATGTGTCTAGTCTAATTGGTTACAATTCTTATTTTTGGTGGAAGAGACCATGGTTCAAATCCTAGCATTGATATCTTTTGGCTTAATGACTAAAGACACCCCTATACTATGGTGTTGTGCGATACTGATGGTCTGCCGGTGGTGTAGTGGTGGAATGAGGCTCGATTGTGTATAGAAAATGACAAGGGGTAAAAAAGACATTTTCACTAAAATCATGGGCGGCAAATAGTAAATACCTGGGCGGCAAATAACAACCCTCCTATTCTACTGCTAGTAGACTACGGATGTTAGTTACAGGTGAAGAAATAATTAAGTAGAATAAAGAATTTTATTCTTTTCGCTTTTTATTCTGGATTTTCTGTTCGATTTGTAGGTCGGAGTAATAATAGGGTGACCCATTTGGTGGCTCGGAAGACCCTCACATTGTACTCGACTACGAATCGTTGTTTGATTTCCTGACCTGCTGAATTCTAAGATGTAATGAGTTATTCTCTAAATCAATATATGATTATATTTTGTAAAAAAAGTGATTGTTGGTGTTTTGGGCTTGCTTTGGCCCCCTTTTATGTGGGATTTGTTTTTTTTTTTAATTGAGTTAGAGTGTTCCTTGTTTTTTGGACTTTCCATTTTCTTAATGGGCTTGTGCTCTGTCCTTTTTTTT